GGCAAATTTTATGATCATAATTATTTTTATGGGTAATTTATGGATAGAGTTCATGGGTGTGCTTTGCAGTGATTATGTACGAGGTCACTGTGCCATTGGATTTAAAATGTATAAAAATGTAAACTATATTTTTTTGAGAAAATTCCTATTCATTTTATGTGTGCTACGCCTAGATTCTTCGCAATAATTTAAAATTCGAATTGAAATTGAATTTAGAATTGAAGGTTTTTTAAAAGAAAATAGTGACGGTCTAGTAGGTACCATGCATTTAAACTAAATTATTTTATCTACATTTCAACTGTCAAAATAGTTATGTATAGGTACCTACTTATTTATCAATCATTGAAATGATTAACTAAAGTACCTTATACGTATGTGCGTGCGGCATCGACCTACACGTAATATATTTATTTTGCTTGGGGCAAGGTACCATTGCTGAACTGCTATCAAACTACTACCTACTTACAACATAAATTTGGACGATCAATATACATTACCTACTTACATACTTGTTTTAAAATAATTCTCAATTGTAAGTACTACCTTTTTTTTAACGGGGGAAAATCATCGAATGTCTTCTCCCACCTATCGTGTCAGACTTTTAGGTACTGACTGAAAACCACCCCCTTCCTACTCCTGCATCTCGAGCCGGAGCCCCGGTGACCCGTTAAGTTCTCCGCGGCTCGCAATTGTACCACCTGCATGTTCATTTTGTTATATTTTTAGTAATACCCATATTGCTAATTAATTATATAACTATAGTTATCTATATAGAAAAAAAATCAATGTACCGCCCGCATGCTCATACTTACCATAGTATGAGCATACGGGCTAACATGATAACTTAAAATTAAAGTAATACTTTAATTTTAAGTTATCATGTTTTCTTATATCTTAAGTGAATTCATTTTATGAGAAATAAATTCTTAAATCAGGTATACTTTGCATAGAATTGAGGCCTTGTAAGCATATTTATTTTAATTTTAACAAGAGCATTATAGGTGGATAGGTACTTCTATAGAGATTGCCATTGGTGTGGGCGATTAAAGTTAAAACATCATTTTAACTCCGTTTTTTACCAGAGGATATTAATATCTATTTACATAATTTTATTAAATAACTCGACGTTTATGACGTGGAACATAATGATTTAAAATTAAATAAAATGATGAATATTATGCGATGAGATTAACATTGAAAAATAAACGTAAATAATATATTAACTACATTATTTATGACGATACAGACCACAGATTAAAAAGATTTCATAACTGACCTTCACCTTGTTCCTAGATCATGTAAGATATGCAGCAAACTCGACCCCTATTATGTAAAGATTACATTCTAAGAATAAGAAACCTTCATACGTTAGTTATAAAGACTATTTTCGTCGATCAAGATGCAAATGAATTAAACAAGTTTTTTTGTTTTATGTGGGTCATTGTTACTTAGTTACATTTTACACGTGTTATGCGAATTTCGTTGCTATGACCGGAAATTAGAGTGTATTTTCAAGGATATCACGTATTTGCTAATTGGATAGGTGGTTGTGATAAATATTTGTTAACGAAAAGTGTTTATTTACACTTCAGTTCAGGTACTTAGTTCAAAAAATGAATCTATCTCTTTTTTGGCTGCATTTTCAGCGTTTCTCTGAAAATTACTAGCTTTGACTTATTATGTCCTTCTCCTTATGCTGAATTACAAGAAGATTCGTTGAGTAGATAAAGTTCAAAGAGATAGCTAAGAATCAAACAAACTTTTTGAAAAACTTATTTTTATAATATGAATTGGGACCTACATCATAATTAAGATTAATAACCCTTTTTCCATATGGCGTAAGAACTTGTTTACCGTGATAAAAATAAAACACAATAGTACAGTAAACGAAACAGACTTTAATTCATCTATTGATATACATTCGTTTCATTTGTTCCATACTATGCTTACATACGTAGGTACCCGTGCATTTTGTTGATTGTACTTATTTATACAGGTTGTATTTATAATTTCATTTTGTTTAGCAATTACTTATTCTTTTCTTTAATTATCGTTAACTCAAATATATGTATAATTATATTCTAAATAATATATTGCAAACTATTGCAAACCCTTTCTGTATTGTGAATTACAAAATAAATAATAAACTACAGAAAATTTATTCATATTTAAATTATTGTTCTGTAGTTTAATTTATATTTAAATTATTATTCTGCAGTTTATTATTACACTCGTTAACATTGAACAGTTTTATAAATACGCTATTTGTTTTCATTTGTTTTTTAATAAGCTAACAATTTATGCATACTAATTTAAACTTACTTAACTTAAAATACTTTCGCAATGAAATTATTTGAAACTTTCATTTAAGTAATACATTCATTTTTAAATCAATATTATAATTTCGAAACCATTTACTTACCATTGCATAAAATCAGAGCAGATACTAACAGTTAATATATTTTTTTAAAGATTTGCATAACCCAATTGTGTTTGTCTGTATGCTTTTTTCTGTTTTGTACATAATTCGACAATAAAATCGTTATACAGCGTAACAAACACTGAAAATATTGTTTTCTAGACACAAGCTTTGAGTTGGGTCGTGGCTGGGGTGACTAGGCTTCGTATGTGGACCACATATTAAACACCCATTCATTGTACACTTAACAAAAGATCTAGGTAGTCATATAACCTAAAACATCCTTTATAAGCCCTTCTCGAAAACTTTATAACTACGTATAAAAAAGTCATGATTTATTTCACGTAGTGTGCCGTGATTTTTTGATATTGCCTTTATTAAAATGAAACGTATAATGCCGAACTGCTATGCAGTTTGTCAGGTGCCAATTTTGTTCAAATTCTCGAGTTTGTAATTAAATAAATTAAAAAATGGTCGTGTTTTATGACCTTTGGTCAATTTTACTTTTGAATCAGGAATTTGGAGGGCTGCCTCGTTGGTCGAGTGGTCGCAAGTACGACTGCCGGGCAAGGGATCTCTGGTTGGATTCCCGGGTCGGGCAAAGTATTAGTGGGTCTTTAAAAAAATGTCAGTAGTAGCACGGAGTCTGGAATTGTGCCCGGTATATGGCAATAGGCCCACCCCCTATTACATGGGACTCATAACATAAATAGTGAAAAGTGGGTGTTACATTGTTCTGTGGTAAAATGTGCACCTCTGCCTACCCCTTTGGGGATAAAAGGCGTTTACTAACAGCAATAGAAAAGCAATGAATATTATATTGGTCATACAATTCGATAAATACATATAAAATCGTATTATGAGCAATAAGACCTTCATTGCATAGCATTGCAGTATGTTTTCATAGAATTTTAGTGTCGTCTTATTTTCTCCTTAGTAAATTATTTCCTTGTCGTTTTACTACATATTTCTTAATATGATATATAGATCTCTATTTCTATTCAGCACTCAATACCTTTATTGCTTTTCCGTACCGTTAGTGGCACAGATGTTCTACGTAAAAGCATAAATAAATGGAAGAGAGCAACGAGTATGTTTTAATTTTTATTTTACAATAAATTCACAGCTCTTTTTTTTTCGGCTCAATTTTACAATGCTATACAAAAGGTGTGTTTATTTACCTGAACATAAAGTCCTTTAACGTGTGACGGTTAATGCACGAGTACAAACAAGGCTTCGTAATTTGAATTACTTTATTGAATTTTACACCGGGTATATTTACAAAGGCTACAAAGCTGAATACTACGGATAAAAAATTCGGTTTTTCTCATTATTTTACACAAAAATGTAAATCGCATACTATATGTAGGTACTATTTTTAATTTACCTAATATGTTACATATATTATTTTAACGAACGTTGGTAGAATTCACAATTGGTCTCGTGTATAATACCTATGTAATTTCGGTATGTTATTTTGATAATTTTACTTAACATTAAATATTAAAACATCTATTTTTCTAACTGCCCTAGGTAAGCTGCCTCTCTTCAATCAACTAATTCGCTCTTCTTTTAAATACAGTCCATTTTATATGCACAACTAACTCTTTCCGATTTAAATTCATCGTCTCATTACGTAATTTTATGTATGTATATTCTTATTTACTTCAATTCTACATGATATTGTGCTATGCACAAGTACAAGCCTAGACTTCGTGCTATTTTAAAATTAGTACTCAAATTATATACATGACTAAACTAACAATTAGGTCTAAATTACACTATAGTTAAGTACATAATGTGAGTTCTGACTAGATATACTTTTTACAAAAGCAATAACTAAACGTTTTAGTTTTAAGTACAGAATGATATGAAATGATTAAAATAATCCGAACGACTTGGTAAATAATTTAATCTTAGCATGACTTTTAAGTTAAATTCTGCTCAAAAGAGCCGTCTGGCGAGAATGATTAACGTTTGTCACTTAGTTCGTGGCTATTAATACCTAGATTATAACCTACGTAGGCCTTCCAAAGTCTAAGATTTCTTTTGAACCTTTTTCTTAATCCTGGGGCACTATTTTAGTAAAGTCCGCTACGGTTTTTCACGCTCTATTGTACGCGACCTGAAACTCATTCAATGTCCAGTTATTTTCTATGGGGCAGATGTAACCAGTACATTGGCACTTCAGCTACACAATGAAGTGAGCACTTCATACGTTTTCTAAGAGAAATCGATTCACGGAATACTGAAACTCAATACTTATTCACAAACATAGCCGATGTAATTGATTACAAGGATGGATTTCCTTCTGCTAATGTAGGTACTAAAATACAGATGTAGTAATCAGACAATGTGATTTACGTGATGATTGACACATTTTTACAATAGTTCAGAATCTAAGTGGGATGTCTAGGAATAGTTTCATGCGCTCGCCAATGTCGACAATGGAGCGCTCGTCCAATTGCTAGCTGTCCTCGCCAGCAGTTTCGTCATCGTCAGCGTCGTCTTCGTCGAGGGGTTGGCTCGTGAGTGCTGCCCAGAGCGGCGAGCGCGCGCCGGGCTGCACCGAGCCCCGCCGCTAGCTGTCCCGGTTGCACATCGCCGCTGCCGCTGCCGTACCCATAGCACCCACAGCACCAAACAGTATCGTGCCCACTTCACGATCTGGCGTCACCTCCACCTAAATACAAGCCCTTCTATTTAACTACTCTATTACCACTATTAATCTTAGCATAAACAGATATACCATACTGCTTATTAAATCCGTGATAGTCATCAATAAAGAACGTGCACAAAAGAAGGCCCATCACATGACCTTTATCTGAATTACAATGGTGACGCACAAATATAAACATTAAAGCACTCGAGGATACGTAATGACATACGCAATTTCAATGATGGAACAAATAAAAATCGCTAGAGACAAAATATATTTGCAATATTGAAGTAGGCATAGACATTGGATATATGAATATCATTTACATCCAAAATTATACCTATCGAGAATACAGTACCCTATCTCTGAGAAAAAAAGCTTTTTATATTACGAATGCTTTATTTAGCACAGACGAAACTCATGATAAATTCACATTCACATCGTGTGAACAATATAGAACGTTAAATAATCTAGAATCGCATAAAAGTCGAGGTTTGCTTGTTTTATTTGAGACCGCGATAAACCGCAGCAACCAGTGAAATGTTTCTCAGTGTTTTTGTAATGTCTCGGTTCCCAGACTGAATGAACGAGTACACACAAGTTTATTGTACGTATTTGTGACTTAGATGTATTCGTGGGACTTAAGTACCTGTGAGAGTGTAGTCTGTTCAGGGTCGGATCGTTCCTCAAGCACGGTGTCAAGTTCGAGAGTTGGCGGTGGTCTTGGCGAACGTATCAGGCTGACAGGTCGCGGCTTCGTCTTCACCGGAGACATCTTTACCACTGACAGTTCCCCACGATCCAATTCACAATTTCGCCGCCTCGCTCGCTCTCTGAAAATATCTTTTGTATTGAAAACTTGAAGGAGAGTTTCCTTCACTGTGGTTTGTGGCACTTACACTTATATTGAGACACTACTTGATGGCGCGACAAGATTTTATCAGAAGCAGACTCGACGGATTTTTCGATGAGGTGCTTAATACAGTTATTGCTGAGACATTTTTCATTTTCTTTAGAACTTGATGAGAATGTTTGTTATCGTTTCAACGCTTACATAATTATAACCAAAGTGCGTATCGATTACTCGCTCTATTGTATGAGTAGTATTTTGCGATAAAATCAACGCTTTATTATCCTGCAGTGCGTAAAATTGCTTCGAATATTCTGTAGGGGCTGAATTTAACAACAACCGTATACGATCTCAGTTGAATCAATCATCATTATCACGCACATTACGTGTTACTGCTTCCCTTGCGGAACGCATATAGGGGAATTTAGCAGGACTTTACGGGGCAAGGCGGAATCATTTACCAAAATCCTACGCCCTATTGCTTTTCTTATATTAAGTAAGTAAATTCTGAAAATGTTGCCTTTATTTGTTCAACTACCATTTTACACTATGAAATAAGAAATCGTAAAACATGACCTGAATCAAGTAGCACATGAAAAGATCTTTCGATGTCCTAAATCAACGGAATTTGACCTAAAAGCGAACGAGCGAACCCTGAAGGGTTTATCGTGGAGAACATTACGTTATCGGGCCGTCCGAGTATAGGACCAGAGTGGCTCAATAAATGGCCTGTGATTTCATTACATCCTTGTCATTACCAGTTCGCTCGTAACTCACCTTGCCATTTTGGCCCTTCTCCTCAAGCAGCAGATAACGGTGAGCGCTAACAATGGAAAGCCGAATATACACGATACAATCGGCACCACTATCGATTCCGGTGTCACTGTAACAATAAACATACGTTTAAATTCTTTCTCCCGGCAATTTCCTGTAAACAAAGGACCGCGAACACACACGGGACACGTAGCTATACATGTATCAAGTAGGTATAAACCAACAAGCCTCGATGAGTTTCAACAATGTACGGGAGTCGAGCGCAGTATAAAAACAAGGCGTGTTATTTCACTATTTGTGTTTATGTTTCATTTGTGTACCTACTTATTGTGTTTCAGCCACAGGTGTGTGTAAACATGAATTCTAGTCGTTAAAACTTTTGTGTAATTGCACATTTGGCAGCGTAAAACATTCAGGCGGTTTGCGACGAAGCGACGCGACGCTGAGTGAGCGCCATATTGAAATGCAGACTACAATTTACATAGGGCATAAATATTTAGTCGTGTTCGTACAGAGCTTGGATAAATTACGTAATTTTTAAAAATATAGTTAGTGGCTCGTGGAAATGGGAGCAGAGTGAAATGGAGTCTAGAGATAAGCATTTTTCTGAACACTTTGTGGAAGCTAAATAAGTGAGCAAAAGCGCTGACGACGCGATGAGGGCAACTGCCAACCTAATATTTTTGCATACCTACTTCTTTAAATGTGTTCAACATTTTCATTCTTAACTTAATAGCTTAGAGAGAGCCCTAAGTGTAGGTACATTTGATATTGTTGGCTTTTATTGTGAAACGGTAGATAATATTTCATCTTTAATTTAGGTTTTGCTTTTAATTCTTTGTACTTTAATCCTTACTAATATTATAAATCGGAAAGTGAGTTTGTTTGTTTGTTTCTTCTGCTTTCACGCCGTAACTACTAAACCGATTGCTTTGAATTTTTGCAGACGTAAAGTTAGAAGTCCGGATTAAATAATAGGGTACTTTTTATCAAGGAGAAATTTGATATTCCCGAGGGAAAACAAAAGTATTGGTATAGCTGGCGCTGTATGTATTGGTATATGTCACATATCACATAGGCTATTTTTTAACCTTTTGAGACGCGAGCGAAGCCGCGGGTAAAAGCTAGTCTCTCATAATTCACTAGTTAGCTAAGACTTAAGGGTTCTAAGTCACTGAAAGTTATAAATAGTATTAAATAGCTAAGTTCAACAAACCATAGATTTAAACACAGACTTAGCACAAGACAAGTATTATCTGTTTAGTAAAATGTTCAAAACTTGAACTTTAACTTACTGTTCAACATTTAATTAACACTTGTTGAAATATTTAATTAAAAAGAGACGGTTTAAATCCTCCATCTTGTTTCGTTTGTCAAAAACATCTGATCGATAGACAGCATTCAAAGTTGGAAACAAGTGAAAATCGGTTTAGGTAACTACGCAACGCTGAGTTACTTTAAAAACTGGACTTTGTTGATTAATTAGAACTCAGTTGAAAGTTATTTTGTCAGGAACATTACTTATTGTAATTAAAAAAAATGGTAGGTACTTTACAACCCCAAAGGTCATATAGATTTCTTCTCTTTACACTTTGAATAACTACCAAAGGTTCAAATAGTCTAAAGCCAATAAGACGAAAACCTCAGCGTTTTAATGAAATTCAAATCAAATAGAAATGGCTGGAAATTTTTAATCTACTGAGGTTGGGCTAAAAATAGTCGTTTATTATCTATGGTTAGATGGCTGGGTTTACAACGTGCAGTGCTTATGTTCTCGGACGCTCGGCACAGGCAGCTAAGTGCACAGCCTTGTCAACGATAAATGAGAACAGTATTAAACAAGACACTGGCTGTTTGTAGGAGAGCATGAGAGGACATTTTACGGCATTTTTTACGGCTAGCAATTTCGTTGCTATTATTTTTCTGAATAAGTAAGTAGCCCGATTTTACTAGTGTTATTAAATTAGTATTGTAATCTAGTAAATAAAATAGCGAGTTAATTGTTACGTGTCGTTTAATTATTCAGATTTATTTATCCCCAGATATTTATGATAACAAAACTGAATGTGCAATAATGTTCAACTCGATTAGTACCTATTATCGAGTTCTAAAAATGGTGCTGGACTAACGATGAACGGGTTAACCAACTAACAAACTTGAAGATTTCGCTTATTAAATCCAACTGAAATCTGGCCATAAAAGAACAAAATATACAACGGAACGGCTAATTTTAGGCGTCGCCGCTTCCTTCTTTTCATTATAGAATAAATCAGACCCTGATCTCGGTAATTAAATCAACCTTTCTCACTTTTAAAATATTTCGCTGAAAGATAGAACGGTGACTACGGTTACGGTAGGTTCTCTTTCGATCCTAATTACTTTTTCATTTTTTCACTTTCCACCGAAAACGAGCCGGCCGGCATAATGACGTCGGCAACCCAAACTGCTGCCCCAGTTCGCGATAATAATCAGGCAAATTTTAAGCCTCCAGGACATTATGTTGCAATAATGGGTGCTATTCAGAATATCACGATAACAGCCTGAAGCTCTATAAAAAACAAATGACTTTCGGTATTAATTTTGTTTTAATTACAAACGGACTTTGTGCTATTTATACCGAAGGTCCTGATTCGAACAACGTGATTAGAATTATCGTTTATATTATACCATTTATAATATAGAATGGGGTTTACAATAACCGTAAACATGTCGATCGACCCACCTCTAGTCAGGTGTAGGTAACTGCCATTAACTTGGTTTATCTCAGATTCCGAATACCATTGAAGTTACACGATTAAGGTGCTGCAAATTACCAATTTAATCACCCTTGTAGTCAGGCATTAGACACGCTACTAAGTAGAACACTCCAACTTGAGATGTACTTAGTAGTTACAAGCCCGAATTGGCAACATCTAAGAGATTACACATACATATGTAGATAGCGATTAATTAATGGGAGGCTAATCCATTTCTGCGTGAACAATTGCTTCAGTAATTCTTTCTTCGCGAGATTTACGTTTATTGTATTTTGATGATAGAATTAGGAATGTTTCGCAATTCCGTTTTAGATCCAGACGCTCTAAATTGTCTTGCGTCAACGGAAATAACAGACATTACCCTATGTTTGGAACTACATGTATTCTAAAGCTAGTTTTAGAAAGGACGGATGGGACTATTTACTTGACATTTTACCCTTTCTCAAAATGTAGTACAGAAATATGTAAAGCTGTCGATTTTTGGAGGTACGTGATAATATAAATTAAATATACGGAGCCCTCAAGGTGTTCGAAGAAAGATGAAGGGTCGCGGAAATATAACGAGGTAATTCAGGGGGAGCCATGTGTCTATTGTGTGGAAATCAGACTTCGCTCTTCCATTATCACTGTATTGTCGGCTTAGATAACCCACAGGAATGTAAATGCCACTTCCTTGTTTGTAAGTGTAGAATATTTTTGTAAAGAATTAAATTAAAACTTAGTTAATTAGATCCTTTTATAATGAGCCATATTTTGTGCACTCGTACTTTGATCGAAATTGTGTACTTGTGTTCAACTTAACTATATGTCTAGCTACATTATTCTAGGTGACACTCGCTCCTTATATGAGTATTGCCTATCACTTTCACCTCTTCTTTGAAAAACAGATTTTACTTATTTATTTATTAAAGGCACATCAACAGTAGGTATCATATATTATACAAAATATTATATAAAATATGATATGCATACTAGTGACAGATGTACACATCACTTACGGGATCATAAATTCCATGTACAAGTGATAGTATTATGTTACCAGTGGGATAAATAATGATGGGCGTAGGCCTCTTGTTGTTGGCGCTGGGCTTCGGCACGGAGGGGGCGACATTGGTGCTGGTGGTTGTAGTGGTCGGGGCTGGCGTGCTGTTCGCGAACCGCTCCAGCAGTCGCAGAGGCGGCGATGTTGATACCCGCGTCATCCTCAACGCTGTACACAAAATAATTATCTGTTATTCATTGTGTATATCGAATTATCTTGCTTGCATAAAACATAAAGCCAGATTTGTTTGCATATGATGATAATTACCATGGCGATGCTGCATCGTCATTAACTAAAAAAATTAAGAAGGGTTATGCTTAAATCACTACGCTGAACAGGCTTGGTGATCGCAGTTGGCAGTTATATCATTGTATTAACAATGCTGCTCGTTTTACTGGGACTCAAAAATTGAGGGGTCAGAACCTTATCTACATTGCCACAAATGGAAAAGTGAACTGAAAAATTTTATATACTAATTTTCTGTCAAACAAAAATCTCTTTTTGTTCCAAAATCTGCCATAAAAATAGTAAACAAGACTCCTCATCGTCAGTGTAGCCACATTAGAAAATTATGCATAATTTACAAAGGACCAGGTGTTTTACCGCGTGGGTAGTGGCAGTCGTTTGGTGGAGACAGATTAGAGACACTTAACCTCGGTTGGGTTCACGGTTCAACCTGCCAGGCTTTTATGTCGACCCCAAACGTTATTAATACCAGTAATTTAACGAAATTCATCAAGATTCTGAGGTGGATGCAAACAGCCGATGAAATTATTTCAAGCTGAATTATTTTTATGAATACATAAGTGGTGTTTTGTGTACAATTCGTATATTTATTACTGGTATAGACTTTACTAGATGTATCTGCCAGCTCTTTGGGGTTAAAGTTACTGTTATAAGGTACAGTAAACAAGCACGGCTTCGACACGGCTCCGGTACGGTGTTTTTTGCAACAAAAAGATTGTAAGCACGCCGTCTGGCGGCGCGCAGTAGGCGTGCTTCATCATCATCGTCATCAACAACCTTTAAATGCCCACTGCTGAGCAAAGCCTTTTCTCACACGGAGAAGGTTTGAGCATTAATCACCACGCTTGCTCAATGAGGGTTGGCGATTACAAACTTATAATTACAAATTATAAACCTAGGTTTCCTCACGATGTTTTCGTATGTATCGATGTATCGTACCGTAGGCGTGCTTACAGCTTTTTTATATTGACGTTATGTAATATATCATACGACATACGATTTAAAGTTAATATTTAAATGACAATGACATTGCTAGGTTGGCACCGTGTCGGAGCACACGTGTAGGCACAGAAAAATTGTATTATATCTATGTCAATAGGGTATGCGATGACATTAAGGGTTTCCGTAACAGCCTGTATGTATAAAGAAAAATGAACTAAACTACTGAATATTTATATTTTGGCGTAACTTCATGTGCTTCCGTACTTATGTTAACAATCATTTTCTCATACAAAATCCCTTTGTTAATAATAAAAACATTGTAAAGAAAGGAGGTAAGAGCGTTTTGAGTATCTGTAGCACACACTCAGAGTGTTTTTAGCATTTCGTAGCTCCAAGTACTTCAATATTCCTCGGATTCTCATGTCCCAAATTTGTTCTTGTAACACGTACATAATTGTATTGTAATGTTTGTATGTTTACATGCAAAAGCCTGGCTTATCATAACATTGTATTAGGTCTATTTTTGTACGCAATTTCTCTGTTATTATACACATGAAATTAGGGGCGATTCTATTGCTCAAACACCGGTAATTTTTTGAACTTCATGTTTACTAATAATAGTATTATCGAGGTTGGAAATCTAAATATCTATCTGTTAAAAGTTCTGGGTGGTTATGATAAGCACAAACATAGATACTATTAAAATTATAAATATACTAATGTTAAACCATTTTTTCAAGATATTTCTCCAGCATTTCTAGATTAACTTGCTATATTTCAAATCGATGACTATGATTCTGTTTTACTATAATATTTCACGTGAGCATGGCTGCTTCGTTAACAATGGGCCAGCTTGACCGGAGTAATACCAACGCATCACCAAAAAGATTATGATGTGTTTCACTATATGATTGAGGATACCGGAGGCTCGTCCTCTTGCTTAAAAGGCTTGCAACGCACTTATAACCTTTCTGGTGTTACGGGTATCCATGGGTAGCGCTAATGACTAACTATCTGGTGTTCCATTGGCGTGTTTGCACCCATTCAAACCCAAACAATCAACTGAATTCAAATTAAATTTTCATTCTTGCATCCCGTAGATTAAATTCGACTTGATAAGCGTCAATCAATTCTATTTCAATCTATATATATAAAAGAAAGTCGTGTTAGTTACACCACTTATAACTCAACAACGGCAGAATAGATTTGGCTGAAAATTGGTAGGGAGGTAGCTTAGAGCCAGGAGACCGACATAGGATACTTTTTAACCAAAATGTTTTTTTTTACTTTTTACCGAAAATCACAAACGGGGACGGGAAAAATGGAATTACGCGTACGAAGTCGAGGGCAGAAGCTAGTATCAAATATTGAATCAGAATCGTCAATTTGATTTCGTTATTATTATTGGTGGACCGAATCCCCAATGAGTTGTTTCGGAAATGTATTTGTTATTCGACATTTGGGAATAATAACGACATTTTATATTTGTGTATCGAGATAAACAATAGCAGGGTTTTGTGTTGCCAATGCTTCGAATGACTTGTTTGGTTTTTCCTTTGATCGTTCGAAAAAGTCACTATACATCAGTTGCACTTGTGTGCCCATTGTATCATTTCCACTACCCTGATTTGACAGCCTCGTTGGCCGAGTGGTCGTAAGTGCGACTGCCGGGTAAGGGGTCTCAGGTTCGATTTCCGGGTCGGGCAAAATACTACTGGGTTTTTTAAAAATTCTCAGTGGTAGCACGGAGTCTGGAATTGTGCCCGGTATATGGCAATAAGCTCACCTCCTATTACATGGGACTCATAACATAAATAGTGAAAAGTGGGTGTTACATTGTACAGTGGCATTAAACTATCAACCACCGCGAGGACACCGGTGACTGCAACCTATTGTTCTTTAATTGTAATTGTTATTGTCTTTGTGTCTATAATGACGGTACTCAAAGGGTTAAGTGCCGCAATGTGCACCTCTGCTTACCCCTTCGGGGATAAAAGGCGTGATGTTATGTTATGTTATGATTTTTAATTGAATTATTTTTTATCTCGTTGTTCAAGTTGATACTACAGTCGCTGTCGATGATGCGACTTTCAAATTGTATCACGATTGAGATTCCTGTACAAGTGTAGATACCGTTTCTTTTTTATTAACAGGTCAAGCGTTTTGACTGACGAGAAATTGAAGAGCCGAAAAGAATATTCATTCGCTCTTTAAAAAAAGACAATGTTACGGTTCACCAATCATAGAACTTCACAACTAGAAGTGCTATATCTTTATATATATAATTCTTCCGTGAGTGTGTATGTCACTGAACTTCTCTCAAACGACTGGACTGATTTTGATGAAATGTTTTGTATGTGTTCAAGGGGATCTGGAAATGGTTTAGATTCACAAATCAGCCCGGCAGATGGCGCTGCAGTCGATGTTTAGGTTATATATACTAAACAGCTGAACTAATTTGAATGAATTTTTGTTTATACATTCAAGTGGATATGCAGGACAACCTCTGTTGGGTTCGCTAGTTATTATAATAAAGTAATAGATATCTGTCGGTGCGAGTGCCACATGAAAAGAGGGTCGGGATACTTCCCTAGTAGGATGCAGTCACGGTCTATTGAAAAAGTTTGACAGTCCGCTCGGGATTAATTGGTTTCAAACGTAACAGTTTGTTAGAGTCTATTTATAGACTCAACAATCATTGTCTGTAGACTTATTTGATCTTATCTACTTATGTATCAAGTTTCTGATGGCTCAGTAGACCAAGAAATAAGGTTTTGGTAGGTTTGTAGGTTTTGAAGGTAGACTTTTCGATAGATGGATTAAGTGTTCCCTTTCATTAAAAGACTTCAAAAAAAGGACTGCCCCGTTGGCCGAATGGTCGCAAGTGCGACTGCCGGGCAAGGGGTCTCGGGTTCGATTCCTAGGTCGGGCAAAGTATTACTGGGTTTTTAAAAATCTCAGTAGTAGCACGGAGTCCGGATGTGCCCGGTATATGGCAATAGGCTCACCCGCTATTACATGGGATTCATAACATTGAGTATCGTAATAATAATACACTTTTCGTGGCACGACATAGTCTAAATCTTAGTCTATTTGCTTACAAACTTGCTATGGAAAGTGCAGGTCCAGTTTAGATATATCAATGGTAAATAGCGTGAACCACTTAAAAAATTACTTCTACTAATTTCTTTTTCGGTGTGCCTTTGTCGTATGATTAAGCCTATAAGTAGCCTTCACTGACCAAATGCCTCTTCTCACACGGAGAAGGTTTAGCGAAGCAGATATGTATCCTTTTACTGGGCTGACTACGAAAATAGGTTGTTTGCCTACAAAATACTGTCTAACTTAGTACTCCTATTTCTTAGAGCTCAGTTACTTCATTAATTTAACAACATAAGCAAGAATTTAGTGTACATAAGTATAGCGGAGATCTAGTTTCCTGACATCGAGTTACGTCGGTTTCTATACAAGTATTTATCTTATTTCATACTTGATAGGTCGTCGTTTGGCCACCATCTCGTCTGGTGATAAGCGATGATGTGGCCTATCTAATCTTAAATTCAAATTCATTTAATTAATTGTAAACATAGGTAATATTAAAGTCTTAAACTGTCAAACACCGCGAGGATACCGGCGACCGCAACCTATTGTTCTTTAATTGTGTCTATAATGACGGTACTCAAAGGGTTAAATAACATTTTTAAACACTATGTTAGCTTTTTCAGAATACAAAATTAGAAAATAGTTGGAAACAACGATTTAGATTGATTATTATTACTGAATGTCATTAGAATTATTAATTATTGGGTCACAGGATTATAAATTTAAATGACTGCCTCGTTGGCCGAGTGGTCGTAAGTGTCGCACTTACGACCACTGCCGGGCAAGGGGTCTCGGGTTCGATTCCCAGGTCGGGAAAAGTATTACTTAGGTTTTAAATATTCTCAGTAGTAGCACGGAGTCTGGAATTGT